GTGATAATATTTAAAATATCTTTTTTTTTAAAAAAAATAATTTTATTTTAGTTTTTTTTAGTAAAGTAATACTTTATATATTATTAAATTAAAGTATAATAAAATAATTAAAATAGTATAAATAGTAAATTTAGATTATTTTTTATAAAATTATAAAGATTAGTTAAAATTTGAATGATTTTTATTAGAAGTAATTATTAATTTTTATATTAGTATATTAATCTTTTTGTAATAATCTATATTATAAATTAAATATAAATATTTTTCTGAACTATTATTATTTATATTGGATTTTTAATTATTTATAATGACTTATTTAGAAAAAATCTGAATTTATTTTGAAAAACTTAAATATAATAAAAAAATTATTATTATATAGAAAATTATTAAATTTTTATTTTTTTAAAATCTTTGAATTATATAATTCTAATATAATTTCATATTAAATTATTTAAATTTATTTTCTTTATAAATTTTCTTGTAATAATATTATATTATTTTATCAATTCTTTTATAAATTTTCATTATTAATAAATTTTTTCAAAAAAATCTACCAGAAATACTTTTAATTTTATATATTTTTTAATTAAATTATTAATATTTTTGTTTTAATAATTATAAATTTATTATAAATTATTTTTTTATTAATAAATATATTTATTATAACTATAATTTTTCTTTATGTAAATTATCAAAAATATTATAATTAATTAAAAAATTCAATAATAATAATAAATTTGTTATATTAATAATAATAATATTATTATTATTTTAATAATTATATTATTATTATAATAATAATTATATAAATAAATTTCTTTATATTAATTATAAGATCAAATTAAGAATTTAATATACTAACACTTATAATATATTTATAATAATAGAAAAAATAATTTGTTTTTAAAAAAATTAAAAAATAATATAATTTGATCTAAAAGTTTAAATTATATAATATTTTTTTATAATTTATAAGAAAAAATTAATTAAATTACAAGACTAATTTATAATTGAAAAATTTAAATATTTATTTTTGAAAAATAACTTTTATATTTTAAAGTTTTGATTATAAAATAACTTTTTATATATTAATAAAAAATATTACTTAAACGATTTTATTATTTTTAATATTTAATATATTTATAATAATAACTTTTATTAATATTTAAATTCTAATTAAAATATTAATATTTTAATATTATATAGTTTATTTAATTTTATTTTTTTAAAAATTATATAATCAATATTATAAAATTAAAATTATATCAATAAAATTATTAAATTATATTAAAAAATTCTAATAATAATTAGTAATAATTATTAATTCTAATAATAATTAATTTTTTATACTTTTGTTAATTATTATTAATTATTAAACTAATTAATAATAATAAATTTTCTTTGATTATTAATTTACTTAATTAAAATTAATAATATTTAATAATTATTAATTATTATTAATATTTTTAATTATAATTAGTTTTTTATTTATAATTAATTTTAATTAAATTTTTTTTAATTATTTATTTTAATTGATAATAATTAATTATTATTATTTATATTAATACTTAATAATAATTAATAAAAATATAAATAATTAATAAGTAATTATTATTAATATATTTTATTTTATAAGATATAATTTATAAAAATTATACTATAATATTATATTTAATTATATTTTTAATAATTTATTATTATATTAAGAACTTGATATTTAAATTATTTTTCTCTTTTTCAAGTTAAAATTTTTATTTTTTATTTTTATATAATATTAATTATACTAAATTAATTAATAAATTTATTTTTATTAAAATCTTTTTATAATTAAGAATTAATTATAATAATTTATTAATATTTATAAAATTATATATTAATTATTAATAAGTTCTTATAATATATTTTTTTATTTTTTTTACTAATAATTATTTTTTTAACATTTTTCTCTTTCTAACTTTTAACTATTTTTACAGTATTATCTTCTTGAAATAAATAACTTTTCAAACTATTTAAGTTATTTATAAATGATAATAAATAATTTTTTAATATATTTACATATACTATAACTATTATATTTTTTATCTAATTTTACTAAAAGATCAAGATTATATTTTATGAAATATTTTCATATTACTATCTCTTGTTAATCTGATTTTATAATAGGAATTAAATAATTTATATCATACTTTTTATAAGATTATCTTTAAGCCAATCTTTTATCATTCTTTCTAAATAATTTCAAACTTGAATTCATATTCTTTTCCATTTATCTTCTATTCTTTTCATTCTCTGACATAGTTAAGTCTTTTTATCCTATTTTTCTTATTTATAAATGATTTTCTAATATCAGAAAATTCTTGTTCATGAAGATACTTGCTTAAAGTTTTTTTATAGATATTTTTTATGATTGAACTGATAAAATCTTTATATAGTGCTTTAAGATTTAATTTTCTAACTTTTTTTAAGAAATGTTTATTAAATGATGAATATTTCTTTCAGTCATTATTAGTGGTTTGCCAGTTCTATGAGATGGAACTTTATTTATAATCTTTGTAACTAGAATAATGTTATGAATAGTAGTTCAAGAATGGTTTAAAGCTTCAGCAATCTCTCTCTCTTTAAAATCACATTTCCAGGCTCCAATAATTTCCTCACGTTCAAAAATAGAAAGTTCTTTTCTTTTATCAACCATAACTTATATGGGAAAGTGTTGCAAAAAACTAGATAATAAAATGATTGACATTAACAGGTTTTAAAGATAAACAAATAAATGATCGATAATCACATGGTCGGTGACTTTTTCCACGCACTGTACATGTATAATGTAGCATTATAAGATTTTTTAAAAATTAAAATGCTGTAACTCTTGCTTTAATGAAACAAATTGATTCTGTCACTTGTAAATTATAATAAATGATATGACTTTGAAAATATGTAACAAATTGTCTAATTTCTTTTGAATAATAGATTAAAATAATAAAATGTATATTATTTATTTAGTTTTAAAAATTAACAGTATCTAATTAAGTCATTTCATTTATAATAAGTTATAAGATTTCAAAGATTTGGTACTTTATAACCGACGACAACGAAATAACGAATGAGTTTGATTGAATCCCCAAAAAGTTTCTAAGATATTTATTATGAATGAACGTGATCGCTATTAAAATTTAATTATTATAAGTTATATTATACTCATTTAATTTTATCCAATAAAAAATCGTATAAAAATTTATTCAAGCACATGTAACAACTTTTATTATACTCATTCTCAATTAATTAAATCTTTATCGATTAAAAATCTCATATGTACATCATTTCATTAAAAGATGTTACTCTCTTTTAATGTTCACAAGATAGTATAAATACTCGTTTGGACGTTTCTATAGCAAATTATTAATATATAGAGTGGGAAGGTCAAATGGTAATGAGAAAGATTATTTGTTGTCAATTAAAGAAATATAATTTTTCAAAAAACGATAAACATTTGAAGACATAAATTTTATTTGGTTAAACGAAATATGAAATGAATTGTATAAAAAAATAATACTTTAGTTTACAGTAAATTCTAATATGACACTATTACTGAATTAACAGAAAATCTTCTTTACGCTTACATTTTTCGGATTCAACTTTAAACAATACTCTATAAATTTTTCAGTAATGAAGACTGTTGGGCAATAGAGATATACGTTTTCATTTTTTAATATCTATTATCTGATATAATTTATTCATTTATATAACACCTACTGTTTTATTTTTCAGATTAATGGATTGATATATTTCCTTTTTTTTTTATGAAGTTTCAGGTTCAAATGTATAAATTTCCGGTAGTCTACTCTTTACCAATGCAAAATCTGTTTGCCAAGGAATATCAATTTCAACATTCAAAATTATTCCATAACGTTTGGAATAATCTTCAAAAAGTGTTATAAGTTGCTGAATTTCACTATTAATTTCTTCGTATACCGAAATTTCCTTGTACCAGCACTCATGAAATTCCTTATTATAATCTTTGAACTCCTGCTTCATCTTATCTATTTTTTCCTCGGTAATATTGATATCTTCAACTGTGAAAATTTCATTGCTGATAGTTATTATATCTTTGACTCGTAACTCTTTGCTTTTTTTGCAAGTCTTTTCGAGAAAGAAATCATTGATATTAAGTGGTAAATCATTCAATAAATTTTCTAAATTTTCCCTCAATTTATCTAAATTAGACCTCTTTGAGTTGTGATCTAATTCGAAATATAAGTTTTTTCTCGGATTTTTGTATTTTTTTTTCGAAGTGATATCTTCCTTATCTTTATCTTTTGATTTAAAATATGAATATTCATTATATAAAGATGTCATTCTAATTTGATGAAAATTGAGATATTCATGTGTTTTTTCTCATATTTATATTTCTCATGCATTGTAAAAATTTGTATTGGAATAATCGCATTTATTTTTCAATTGAATATAATTCGAATTGTATTAAATATAACAATACAACAATTTTGTAGTTTTGTCTGATAAAGTTCTGAAAAGGGAATTATAATTCGGAACAAATAAAGATATAAATTCTGTATTATTCAAATATAATGAGTCCAAGAGGAGGGAATGTTACTTAAGAAACATGTTTCATATATTCTTATCATTTATTTATAAATTTCATAATATTCAAAAATTTAAAATGAATTAAATAACTACATATATATTATTATGTGAATTACCTCTCCTAAAAAAATCAAGTGATAAATGTCACTTTCTTGATCGACGCTAAAGCCAAATCCAATTTAGCGAGGGGCATTTGAAAATTTATTAGTAAGTCTACTATATCAAGTGAATTTTGATAAGGCATTTTTAATATGTTCATGAGTTTAATTAAAAAGGAGGCACACTATAAGGAGAGATATGTATTATGTTTGAAAGGCATGTTTCTTAACTTATTGGCTTTTGTCTTCTCACAATTATTTTGATGATGTGTAGTGAGGTGCTGAGAAACGAATTTTTGGTTTATGAAATTTATAGTTTAGAAGTACACGTACCGTTAAACATTAAGTCTCTAAATTGTGACCGGAAACCCATAGCTTTCCGAGATTATCTGCTCGTGGTCACCCGACCGACAATCTAGAATAACGAAAGAACAATAAATAAAAATATACAGTATATTGATATTAATAATAATAATAAAATAGACCAAAATAATCAACGTCCTCATTAGTACATTTGGACTTATTTGAACAATTTTTAATATTATTACTTTTTCATTTTCTTATTATTTTCTTATTCTTTTATAACGAGAACTTTAACAACTCCATAAGTAGATCAGCTGCATACTTAATTTATGTAGTTATATTCGCATATCCATTGCATCATGAATCAAAACATTAGATCATGTGAAGTACAATTAATAATGGGTTAGTGAGTTTAATTAACTTCATCTTTTATAGTGCTCCGAAGGGTCGAATCGGTCGGGTTTTGGACATATTCGTATTCGATCCGAGTATAAAAATTAAAATATATACTGTAAATACTCGGGTTAGATTTATATAACCCGAACTCGGTTCGACCCTTAATTAACCAACTTGTACCAACTCGAACTGTCTCGAAATTTGTTAAAGAAGTTGGATCGGTAGCAAACTTGAAAAATACAAAATTTGTCGGTCATATGACTTTTTTAAGGGTAAACCAATCAAATCGTAAAATATGAATATTAATAGCATTTGATTAGGAATTAAATTTAATGTTAAGCCATAGTTCAGATTATATTATACGTGAGAAGATATACAGTAAAATTTTGCAAAAAACCTTTTTTGAACTTGACTGTAATCTACCATTAAGGCCTGTGCATCATGTGGTGACAAATTTATACCTTCCGGACATAATAATAATTCCTCTTGTATAACTTCTTCTTCTTCATTGAGAACTATATCGATTGAATCTCTTTTTTGTTTAAGTTATTTCATTAATTGCTCCTCCTTTTTCGAGCTTTATCATAGTAATCAGATAATATAGACGCAGAAATATTTTGGTCAATAATTATTATCTAATGATGAGAATGGTGATATGATTGGTTCATTTGAAGGATAGGTCCACATTGATAGAGAATTATTTTGTGAAATAGGTGGAATAAGCGATGTAAAAAGTTTAGGAACTACAGCATGAACTGTTGATTGTAATTCATATATAATAAATACTTCTGAAAAACTAAGATTCGAGGATATTGAGGTATTATTAATATTGTACTTATTAAATATTTGATAAAATACTAATTGTTCATTGACTTGTTTAATTTTATAAGTAAATGTTGCATCAGTTCCATAGTCTTCATATTCAAATAATAAATATTGATCATTATATGATATGTGTAAATGAAAACAAGAACCCACAAGTTTGGTGAATATCATATATCCAGGTAAGAATGGAATTCATATGGCAGAAGAGTCACTTTTTGGAATAATACGAACATAACCAGCATTCTTATTAGCTTCTTCAGACTCTGATATATGTGTGAGAAAACCAGAAGGAAGGTCAAACTTTTGTAATATTTTATATAACTCAAGCACCTCAAGTGGCTCATTCCAATCTCTTACTAGTCAGGTGCCTTTACTACGCTTATATGCATGATGGTGTTTAGGATCTTGTTCAATGAGAAATTTATACCAATCTTTATGAGAAATAATTATTCAAGAATGATAATAATAATGACAATGATAATGATAATCAACTGATAAATAAAATATTGATATACGTAATAACAAATATAGTTAGTTGATTCAAAATCTAGAAATTGTAAACTGACGGTTCTATTATTATATCAAACTGACGGCTCTATTATTATATCAAATTACAGTCATCCCTCATTATTATTAACATCATGAGACTGAGCTATTTTGTTGATACATACGAGGAAAGATAAATAACCGCGGGGGTTTAGGGTTAATACATAATTTATTATCTGTTCTGCGACTAATATTGATGTTGATATTTTTGTAGTTGTTAACAACTAAGGATGACTATAATATGATAACGAATTTATAGCCATAATAAATTTAAAATTCAAGTTTGCTACATTTCATTACGAAAAGATTCATTTATATACAGAGGTAACTGTATATACATATATTTTAAAAAGCAAACTTGACAACATCGTAATTATTGTATTCAAATGATAGCTTAGATTCTTCCGCAACTTCTCTCTGTGTTTTTATAGCTCCGCCGAAAGTTTTTACGAAGTTATCCTTGATTACTTAAAAATTCAATGATTTTCACGTGATTCACATAGTAGCTGATGACGCAATGCACACCATAAACGATTTACATATTTTTATCTATTTTTATTGATGTATTGATGACGTTTACATTTTTTGATCGGCAAAAGTTGCCATATCGGGTGTCTTCACATAGGGGTTTTGGATTTGGTTTCGATCAATCTTAGATTAGTTTTGGTTTGACGCAATCCAAACCAAATCCAAACTTTTTCACACGATTTCGTGATTCAAACCAATATCTTCATCATGCATTTTAGATTGCAATTTTAATTGGCTAATATTGCCACGTATCTAAATTCATAAAAAATGGATAATGAAGCAACGAATAATAATAATAACGAATTAAATAATGATAATAATACCACGGCAATACTTGCACTTATTCAATCATGGAATGAATCATCTTCGTCTTCAAGCTCTTCTTCTTCTTCCTCATCAGAAGAATCTGAAGAAGATACTCTCGATATTATCATAAATGTAATTAAGGTTTTAGAAACAGAGCAAGAAAAAAATAAAATCAAAAAACAACGTCAAAAAATTAGACAAAGAAGTATGGAATGGATTTTTATGAGTTTGAAATGGTCAGATTTGGAATTTAAAAGACATTATCAATTAACAAAATCAATATTTGAGTGGTTATTTAATTCACTCTTTCCTTTTATGAATAATTTGGAAACATCTTTACATAGATTATCTTTAGAATAAAAATTTGCTGTGACAATTTGGTAGCTTGATAATGGTGGAACTTTACGTGCTGTATCAGAATTATGTGGTATAACAGAATCAATCTTTCATTATGCATCACGTAATTTTATTGAGATGATTAATAAAAATTTTCTAGAAAATGAAATTAGGTTAGTATTATATTTAAAATTAA